GATCGTGCACTAAGCGCTTACTGTCCTGGGGAATGAGGACGAGTCGACCTGTTGGACCCGTGTTCTTGAGCTGGAAGGGCTCGTTCTTCTTCTCCAGGAAGCCGCGTACGAAGTCGTATAGGCCGACGGCGGTATCGGTCTTTGTGAAGTTCATCTGAATGAGCGCATTATCCGGCATCCGAATGCGGAGTGCGCCGCCCTTCTCGGCTGCAGCGTCAATCTTGGCCTGCCGCTCCTTTTCTTGCTCCTCCAACTCTTTGTCAGACAACAGACGCGTATTGCGTGTCTTGGTCAACAACGCGTTTTGATGTGCTTTTGCGTGTTCAATGGTAGGGAGGTAGTCGTTCTCGTTGAAGGCATTTCGCGCTGCTTGCGGAGTGGACGATGTTGGCGCAGAGAAGATCTGGACGTTGCGAGATTGTTCAGATGGCTGTGATGATGGTTGGGAGGTCGGTGCTGGTGATTGAACGGGTTCTACGGGTGCGGACGACGCTGTTGACGTTGCCGCAGCCAATGATGCTGCTGGAGAAGTATTCTCTATGCTCTCAGCCGCGTTGTTCTCGGTAGACACCTCGGGCTCTTGTGTAGGTTTAGCGGCCGGTTTGGAGTCGACCTCCATCGGTTCTGGATCGGGCTCTTCGTTACGAACAGTTTCGCCTGCTACGACTTCTGTCGCCTCCGGAGCTGCCTGGGCAGGGTCTGGTATTGAGGCTGATTGATCAGTTGTCGAAGCGTGTGCGCCTTCGGCACCGACAGACGCAGGCTCGCTGGACTTGAAGTATTGCGTTATCTGTGCCATGGCCTCTTCTAGCGGCGTTCCGCTATTCCTGTAGGACAGCTTCAATAATGCTGAGCCGCTATCAAATCCCAGCTGACTGAGAGTCTGTTGTAGCTCAACAAAGTTGGCCTGCTCCTTGTGACCTGGCATGACAGTGATGACAGGTTGCTCGTAGTGCAGCCTGCCAGCACCGGATGCGCCGCTCATCTCGGGGATGCCGCGCTGTGTGAAGTTGTAGTTGGCCCCCTGCCCACTCTCAAAGTGTCGCAAGATCTCCCATAACGAAGTGTTGCTCGCGAACTTGCTTGTGAGGCGTACGTTCTTCTCGGTCGCGGGGAGCTGGAGCGCTACTGATATGACGGTGGGTGATCGCGAGGCCTGGACGAGTTCCAGTCGGGCGCCCTGGGGGAGGTTTGCGAGCCGTATTTGTTGCGATAGGGATATGGGTTTGTTGTTGTATCTGTACACTGGTCAGTAGTGGATTAACGTATTGTGGTGTTGGGGCGTACTTGAGCGTGAACTGGTCCTTGTTGACACCAAACTTCTGGCACGCCTCATCGCGCACCTCTGTCAAGTACTTGGTGGGCGTGGTCGGAATCTTGAAAGTCCTCGCGTACGAGTTGAATACTACGACGTGCGACATCATGCGCGTAGGAGTCGGTAGAGGCCGTGGGCAAGAAGGAAAGCAGCGGGCGCGTTTGCTATCAGAATGGCGCGGGAGTACCAGCAGTTCCAGCTATGGGCTCTTCGGGTGGCGTCGCTCCGTTCGACCAGGAGGATAATGCTAGCGATGTGTAGAAGCTTTGCTTCGGCGAAGCTGAGTAGGAGATTGTTTGGGCCTGCCATAGAGGCGATTAGGTGGATGTTCACAGTGTCGCGGACGGTCAACGCCAGTAGGGGCGCTTACCAATCCTTCGTAGGCCTGTATGGCTTCACAGCGCAGTCACCGCGGTCGGTGGTGATGGACGTGGTTGGCGGGCGATGGCGAGGACGATGCTCCGACGGGGACAGAATAGTTATAGACTCGGCGAGTGGTCGTCTTCCTGGGCTCCAGTGATGTTGAGGGAGGAAGTGTTTGGGCGGCTGCTCGCGATTGCAGCTTTATCTTTCTGGAAGCTTCGGGGTGGCCTTGCCGCGTGTGCAGGTGTCGGTGCCTGCAGATGGGACCCGGCCTAGGTACACACGTCGGTGACGGAATGCCACCACCCCGCGCTGATGGCGCCCCACTAATTGTCGGGCGCTTCCTTCTGTGCAAGTCGCGCCTCTTCTACAGACAACATCACCAGCACCCAAACACACCCACAGCCATGTCCAGGGTCATCGAAATCACGAGGCCTGCAGTGCTGAGCGAGCTGCTCTCCTCTTCGCGCATTGTAGTCATCAATTGTAAGCAGCGACCCGGCATCTACGAGGCAAACTCCGGATGCTAATGTGTGGTACTTGCAGTCTACAATGAAGAAAACACGTCGAGCAAAGCGATTGCGCCCGTATACGACCAACTAGCCGGTCAGCTCACTCGGCCTGGACAGATCGCCTTCGCCAAAGTCAGCACAGTACAGCAGGCGCAGATTGCACAGAGCTACAACGTCACCAAGTATGCACATTCCCCAAGCACGGCCACATATTTGAGCGCTTTCTAACGCTTGTTAGTACCCCAACGTTCATCATCTACAAGAACAACCAGCAGATAAAGAAGTACGCCGGCTCGAATCCACAGCAGCTTTCCGAGGCGATCAAGACCCTCGCCACGGAGGCAGAGAACGATGGAAAGGGAGACAGTGGCGTTTCTGGTGCAGGTGGCAGCAGCAGTGGAAGCGGCCCGTGGATAGGCGCCAGTCTACCACGCGGATACACCGACGTGACCGATTCCGTGGACCCACGGGGTCTCGATCTCCTCAACGCGGACAGCGATTTCGGCACCGTCAAGACGCTTTTCGAGACATCACAACCGAGCTCGCTCAACAAGGGCAAGGGTGCGGCAACCGGCTCAGAAAGCAAGAAGGACTGGGTAGAAAGCGATGTCGACAACCAGCTCATGCTGTACGTACCCTTCATGGCCAACCTGAAGGTTCACACTATCCACATCACGTCTTGCGTATCCGGCGACGAAGACGACGACGAAGCGCCAGTACGGCCAAAGACCATTCACGTCTGGACCAACAGGGCAAATAACCTGGGATTCGAAGAGGCCGAAGACATCCCAGCGACTCAGACGATCGAGCTGAAGCCGTCAGATTGGGATGAGCAGACACAAACGGCCAAGCTTGAACTGCGCTTCGTCAAGTTCCAGAACGTCTACTCATTAGTACTGTTTGTCGCGGACGCCGAGGGCGATAGCGAGAAGACGCGTATCGACCGTATCAGATTCGTGGGCGAGACTGGCGAGAAGCGCGAGATTGGCAAATTGGAGAAGATTGGTCACGACGATTAAACGACTACACTGTCATAGTTGTGGCCATTAAGGTTACATGGAGTCATCTTGGAGCATTTACTGGTTTTGACAGAATTACGATTAATGCATGATGTTCAATTCCCGCAAACGATCTGAAATACTCAATCATTGCTAATTTTGTCTAATCGAGACAGTAGAGTAAGTTGCATGTGCTGTATCGCATCGCAAGTCGTCTGGAAGTGTGACGAAAGACATCATATAAGTTGTTGGTATGTCCACGCCTCTGCTCGAGGCCTCACCCACACAAGGAAGGGTGAAGCCTGAGCAGTCTCGTCTCCGAGCAAGGCGCGTTTCAATATAAGCATTTCTCGGCCCTTACTCTGCCATTGATAAGGGCAATAGAGTAGGAATTTGACATCCATGCTAGGTAGGCATCAACGCATCAGCACCTCACGCGCATGGGTGCACTGGGACAGGTTGGTTTGGCGTGAACCAATCGTCACATTTCATGATTTTGAGTGACACATGCTAGGTACGTTCAGGAACCATCATTGTCCATTTGCCATACTCCGATGAATCGTGTCATACTTTTTGTGGTATGTTGTGACGTTCCGAGATCGTATCGAGCCGCCCGTTGTGAAAAGAGACCGAACACCCAGGAAGAAATCGGAAAGTAAGTCGGTCGTTCGTCCGCCGTGTTGCTTCATCCACCGCGTTTCGTAAACCGTTTAGTGACCAGCGCGCTTGGACTCAGCGATGACGCGGGTCATCTCGTCGACCTTTCTCTTTGAGCGACCGAAGGTACCGAGCTGTGATGTGTTAGTTGATGTTCGTACTTGGATGTGCCGCAACGGGTAGGAGGTCGGTCGTGGTGTGCTAGGGTGGGAGACGTACCCTCTTCTTCGCTAGACGGCGGGCACGCTTGTCCTTGGAGTTTCGGAGCAATTCGATGATGCGCTTCTCGTATGGGGCAAGACTGTAGACACGTCAAGTTAGCGGGCTGTTCGACGAACAATTGCGCAGTCCTTCTGCAGAAAAGTTCGGATTGGAACGTACCCGGCAACCTCCTTGGTGATCTCACGGACGAAGGCAGTGCGCTTCGACAGGAAACCCTTCCTCCTCGAGATCCTGGGAGCGGGGGTCCTGGGGGTGACCTCTGTAGACCGTGTTAGCCTCCATCCACGAATTTTCTCATCTGTAGCGATCGGTGCGTATCGAGAGCGGCGAGCGGGGAGACGTACTGTGGCCGGCGTTAAGGCCAACGATGAGGCCAGACTTCTGCTTGACTTCTTTCGGCATCGTGACGGTCGTGATGTTGTCGATAGATGGGTTCAGAGTCGCAAATCTGAGAGGGTAATTTTGGCTCGGCTGTGCGGTGGTGCCAAGATGGCGCTAGCTGTAAGCAGGCACGTGCTTTCTGCGATGTTCTTGGACGGCAATCACGAACATCAACCAAAGGCTTGAATTACATTCCTTACTGAAAGGTTTTCATGCGCATGCTATCTTCGGCGATGATTTGTTGTGGAGCCATCACCACCATCCAGTCTTGAACAGCTTTACAGGCACATAAGAAGAACCACGCCCCATTTCCACCCCGGATGCGAACGAACATCATTAGTATCAAGTGTAGACATTCGCAGTTCTAGTTGTTCAAGCAAAAGATGCAGCAAAAATGACCCCGCAAAAATCCCTCGTCGACCATCCGGTTGACCCCTGAGGAGGCTCCCACTAACTCTGAGACCATAAATCAGAGGTCACCACTACCGCATTCCAAACCACATCCGACCTTTTCAATCTGCGCTCAGGGCTCTATAAGCTCCTCTCAATGCCTCAATCCTCTTCCTTGAGTTTAACCCCACCAGCTTTGACGTACAAAACCTTTTCCTTCAGTCTGTGGTCAGTCACGCTTGTAATGTACAGCGAGAGGCAGCCACCGGCATCGAAGCCCCAGCCCAGTTCGCCATGCCGAACAGCATACAACTCAATGAATTCCGGATTAAGCAAACCTCCCTGACTCTTGAGCTCTACGCACGCCTCCTTCGTCAGCAGACGATGCGTACCTTTGAAGCACTTAGTGAAGTAGTCCAACAGTGCAGCGTTAGCCATGCTGAGATCCAAGACGTTCGGAACGGCAACTGTGGTTTCGAACTTCATAGACAACGTGCGTGTGCGTAACCCCAGGCAGACATCGTATTGCTGGCGATACTCCGGCATCGTGCCGGCTTTGAGGGAGAACATGTGCTTGTAGAAGGCTGTTTGACAGGCTGCCTCGAGTTTGTTGCGCAACGCAATTGGGATCTTGTCGAACTTGGCATTTGCTGTGACAGACACCTGGAAGAAGGCTTCTTCCTCCTTCTCTTCAGGAGTTTTGCTGACTGGTCTGAACGGCTTGACTTCTCTCTTGTCTGGCATATTTTCGAGGTCGATGACGACTTCTGCTTTGCGTTTGGTCGCACCCTTTGGTGCGGGTGTAGGTGTATCGGCGAGAGTAGGCATGGCCGTCTTAGACTTTGGACCTGCAACGGAGTCAGCGCGAAAGTGTAACGCAATCTCTTATCAAAGTTTGACCTACTCTGCATGATGTTGTTTTATCTCGTACGCCGACTACACTAGTAGCTGGTTGTTCTGGAAGCTTTTCACAGCCTGAATGGGTAGAGAGCGATACCTCTCGGCTGAGTGAGTAGAGGAGACAAGGAAGAAGACGGTTCAGAAGAACCGCAAGTAACTGATAGCCAAACAAGGTCGCAATGGCTCGGCTGGTAAGAGACAGGTGGTAGATCTGAGATGTTTCGCGCCTATTGATACAAGGTAAAGGTAGTCTACAACTTCGCTTTCGCCTTGCTATCCTCCTCCTCCTGCGCCTTCACCTTGAGCATCCGCCTAAGAATCTTTCCGCTTACAGACTTCGGAATTTCATCAACCCATCTCACTCCGCCGCGGAGTCTCTTGTGGTGCGCGACCTTGGCACTCAACCAGTCTATGATCTCCTTCGCGTCTTCGTCCGTTTTGCCCAGTCCATCTTTGGGCACGACGTAGGCGCGCGGTAGTTCCGAGGCATCGTCTTTCGAGTAGACTCCGATGACTGCTACGTCATTGATCTTCGGGTGCGAGACCAGGATACCCTCTAGTTCAGCAGGTGGCACCTGGAATCCCTTGTACTTGATGAGCTCCTTCACGCGGTCGGTGATGAAGAAGTTTCCGTCCTTGTCTTGGTATCCAACATCGCCTGTCTTGAAGTACCCGTCTGCTGTCTTTGCATGCGCGGTTCCGTCAGGGTTGTTAAGGTAGCCCTTGAAGACGTTCGGGCCCTTGATCCATAGTTCGCCAACCTCACCGACTGCCATCTCCTTTTCCTCTGGAGACATGTACTTTGCTGTTTGGTAGGGAAGAAGCTTGCCCACAGATCCAATGGTCTTGTCCCAGTCCTCCCAGGGTTGGGTGTGCGTTGTTGGGCTGGTTTCCGAAAGGCCGTATCCTTGTTTGACAGGGATCTGCAGTCTGCTGTGAACTGCCTCTACAAGCTCTCTTGTTAAGGGCGCCGCGCCAGAGTTCATCATCCGGATCGAGCTCAAGTCGTACTTCGATACAAGAGGGTGTTTGCTTAAGAGCAGAACGATCGGTGGGACCACATACGCGAATGTGATCTTGAGCTCTTGGATGAACTTGCAGAAGTCCTCTAGGTCAAACTTCGGCATTACAACAAGTTGGAGACCAGAGTACAAGCTTTGATGGATTAGACACGTGAGACCTAGTCGAAGTCAGTTGAGAACCACCTAGATGAGCGCATGCAGGAACTTACCGTAAATATGGAAGAAGGGCAGGAAAGCCAGCAGTTTGTCGCCTTCGCCAGTTGGTCCTCCTGTGGGCTGCAGTTTACCAGCCTCCGCGGCTTTGATCATCATCGTGTTGGCGACAATGTTGCGGTGGGTCAACATCACACCCTTGGGATGACCTGTGGTTCCGCTGGAGTAGACCAAGAATGCAAGGTCCTCCGATGGATTGCTAGCCTTTGTTCTCCGCCACTTGGAAGATCCGGCTGTGTTGATGATACTGGTGAAGTGCTTGACTTGGTACGAAGGATCCTTCTGGTCGCCCATCACGATCACCCGGTCAAGAGGAATGCCAACCTTCTTTGCCGCTTCTTGCGCATTCTTGATGAAAGGTAGCTGTGTCACCAGGCCCTTTGCACCAGAGTCTTTAAGTTGGAATGCAAGTTCATCGACCGTGTAGTTTGGGTTGGCTGGAGACAGGATACCGCCTGCCCAGTGGCAACCCCATGTTATCGCTGGTGTGTCGATGCAGTTGGGTGTGTACACAGCGAGAACATCGCCTTTTTGCCAGTCCCAGAGTGCCTTTAGCCCTTTGCCAAAGTTGATAGCGGCATCTTTGACCTGGGCGTATGTGTAGGACCGCTTAGTGTAGGGATCAAAGTAGATTACTATTTCCCGTTTTAGTGATTACTTATGTTGACAAAACATGAGAACATACCTTTGTCATCTGCGTACGGCCTGTCATTCCTTTCGAAGAGAAACGCCCACTACGATCAAAGACAAACGTCAGTATTAGTTCCACAAAAGGGCTTATCTCCGTATGTCAAACTTACCAGATCAACGTCTGGGATCGGCAGGCTAGGGTACTGGCTTTCGGACGGCATTTTAGTGGTTGAAGATCGGTGTCGTGTTGATGATCAGTACCGAGCCAAGGAATCTTATGGAGGGAGTAGAGTGAAAGTAGAAGGATGCCAGAATGAGAAGACGGACATAGCCCGTCGCGTTCTAACGGACCTGGGAATACCGAGGGCAGACGCAGCGCATTGAGACGGCTGGCCATGATTAGTCGACCGGGGTAAACCCCACAACTCCGGGCAACCATGACCGAGGTTCTTTCCGCTTTTGGCGTTAGCGGCGCGATAGCTGCACATGGCCTCCCGAGGTCAACGGTATTGCGACAACCTCGAACATCGATAGCCTGACCATATAGACCTATTAGTTCTCCAAACACACGAAAGTTCCACACTATTAGGTTATCAAGATGCCGAGTTGGGAAGAAGCTACTGCAGTACAGAAACTGTCCTCCAACACGTACTCATGTACACTACACGATGATTGGAGCATCGGAAGCGGTATTTTAGACCCCAGCAGAGATAACATCATCCGCTTTTACTAACGGCAACAGTTCCTAATGGTGGCTACGTTACAGGATGGTAAGGTTCATCGCATTCTGCTTCACACCCTTGACTAACCACATCTCGACTTCTTAGCATACTGGAGGTAGTCAAAACACATTTCAGCACAACTTTGGCGAAGCAGAACCAGCCACACACCATAGCTCTCCACATTGAGTTCCTGAGACGGACCCAAGCCGGGCCCGCAACATACAAAGTCGACGATGTCAAACTTGGTCGCCAAACGTCTATCGTACATGTGACCATGGAGCAAGACGGCCGACAGGAAGTCGTCGCGTACGTCACAAACTCCAACATGGATGCGGAAAAGGGCTTCACCCAAGATGTCGGATACAAGCTTTCACCGCCCGTCCCGTCAGTCGACCTGACAAAGCTGGAAAATGATGAAGATACAAACTGGAGGCTCCAACCAGAATTGCCGCACGCCAACTTCCGAAAAGCGACGAAGAGGGTGAAGTTTTATTTCCCTCGGGAAGGACGAAGCCTAAAGCATCTCGCTGATGAGTGGATCTGCTTCTCTGATGGGACAAACTTCACGGATTCCTCGGTCGGCTTTGTCGCAGACATGTTCCCGCTGATGGTTGAGTCAATCAAGGGCGAAGGAGAGGGACCCTTTTGGTATCCAACCCTCCTACTGAATCTGGACATCAAGAAAGCGCTGCCGCCGCAGGGGGTCAAGTGGCTGCAGGTTAGGGCAGGTATGAAGAAGGTGGCGAACGGTAGGATGGACTTGGAAGTGTGGGTGCACGATGCTGACGGCGATTTGGTGGCTTTGAGCCATCATGTAGCATTTGTGTTGGATGCTGCTAGGAACACAGCCGCAAGGAAAACGGGCAATGCGAAGATCTAGGCCTTGGATTGTTTCGTACATAATCACCGGCATTTCTATACGTCGCACTTTTCGAAAAAGCCAGCGCGTGTGAACACTGTCTTGCTGAATTCCTCCGCTGCATTACCTCGGTTCATTTTGTTGCGGTGTGACGTTGCTTATTCGTCAATATGATCCCGGCATGTGTAGTTCCACTTCCACAGCTACGCGGAACAGTATGGACTTCATCAGGTACCGAGAGTTGCTGACATCGACACGGCATTGGGCGCTCCTTGGAAAATTGGTTTTGTTATTTCTCGATCATCTGGGGGCCTCATTGCGCTCGACTGGCCGCAACAGTGAGGGTTTCAAAAATCTACAGGATGCTATCGTGCATCGCTATCTGCCAAACGCCAATGATGCCATTCATCAGATGCCCAATGCCCCCTGGCTGTATATTGCCATGCTTTTTTGTGTCTGCTCGATTGGTCCGGAGTCGCTTATTTGCCCTTGGGGTTGTTGTATTGTATCTCGTTGAATTTGCTCGGCCAGACAGGCTATCGCACGTTAGCACAGTCCTTGGGCATCGAAATCAGCGTGCCACATACCTCACTCTGCTGGTCGCTGATGTTCTTCTTGAAGTGCTCCGAGTCTGGGCCCTTGCTCGGGCCGTCGTGCCTTCCTTCGTTTGCGGACGCAGAGCCTACAAGCTTGATGTCAGCAAACTCCGTTCTATGTACTTCCAGGGTTTTAAGTCTGGGGAGCTCATTATACCCGTACCGCGCTGGGTTCCTCCAGCAGGTGTGTGCGTAGGGTGGCCTCCACCAGCTGAGAAGCGATCCTCAATGTTCTGGACGCCCTGTGTCTTGTACGGGTTGGGGAACCAGTATTGGCGCATGAAGAGGTAGTAGCCGAAGCCGACGGCGCCGCCAGCCATGAAAATTTTAGGAACAGAGAGAGGCGACATGATTGCTGTTGGTCCTGCTGTCTCCCTTTAATTGACGAGGTGGGAGTGGGAGGAGGTGAGGGTGGAGGTTTAGAGCGACAGAGATGAAGTGGAAGGTGCTGTGTGTTGTGCTGGGTGGTGTGACGCACGAAGTAAGGACAGTTAATGGAAACCTTGGTATGTGGAGAAGAAGCAAGTAGTGCAGCGAGCCTAGAGATCTAGGCGTTGTTTTCCCTCCAAAGTCAGGTACCCAATAGCATACGGCGGAGAAGCGTCACTTTGTCGTCGCGATGATCGCGTCATGGCCTTGTGCTTTAGGCAAAGCTCCCGCGGTCGTCGCACAAACCAAAGATCCACTCCGCCAGGCACGATGCAGCTAGCGCGCGTGAGGCTGAAGCTCATGCTGACGTAACGCAACGGCGGCTGAAGAGTGGCTTGTAAATTAGCTAGCGTGTTTGGTGCCATCGCCTTGGGGAAGTGGACACGCTATCGCGACATCTGCAACCCCTTGCGCCAACACGACCGGAGATAGCTGTGAAGAGAGGGTCCAATTGGGGGTGTCTTTTACATCGAGGAGCTTCATGATCATACGGCAGACTACAGGCTGGGACACAGCAACCGCCACGGAACCGAGCGCGCA